AGGGAGCCCGATGCGGGACTCGATCCCGGGACTCCAGGATCATGACCTGAGCCGAAGGCAGTCACTTAACCAACTGAGCCACCCAGGCGCCCTGTTGTCATGTTAATCTTACTTCGTGTCATTGCAGCGTCCAACAGTTTGGGGGTTCTCAACGGAACGCCTCTGCTGATGGAGGAAACCGAAATGGGGAGAAGATTTTATCTGGTGGTGAATGGTTTTCTTTGTGAAGGTTCTGTGCTCTCAGCTCCTCTGCTCTTTCTTCTCTGTGTGGAAGTTAATCCCATCTATGAAAACGTTACAGTTGTTCGGGGATGTTCTGCCTCCCAGTTGTCTGTTCCTAAGGAAGCATCTGCATCCAGCCTGGAATTGCCCCCTGACCACGAGGACGCAGTGCATTTGGCGGCACACCAGTGTCATGGCCCTCTTCCAGCAACCCCGGCAGAAAGTTCCAGATTGGCATATGGCAGTGGTTGCCACTGAGGCCACCGGATTCAGGTGGCACACGGCATTGTCTGCCTCTCACCCAGCAGTGGCCCTTTTAGGCAGCACAGAACAGGAGGGTGTGTTTAAGCTGGATTTGAGGAAAGAAGGCGGGTCTTCTGGTGCACGGGGAGTGAATCTGCTCCGTAAGAAGGATGGAGTGAGTTTCTGCCCTCCCGAGGGGAAAGAGATTTGGGACACAGACAAGACCAGGATTCCCTATTCAGCGCGCTTTCTGCAATATTTCAGAGCCTGGTCCTTCTCGTGCTGATAATGATTATAATCATGGTTATGAAATTATACAAGGCAGTGCTTCCTACAGATCGACACCTCATTGCAACTGAGTTCATTAATGTAAAATATAGGTGATAAAATATAAATTTGCTCATATACTCCTCGTTTAGAAGCGTCCCACTCAACCTCTGTCCCACTCTCGTATAGATCTTTAATTTGTACGTATAGGGCACTCGTCTTAAGCAATATCCATTTGAGTAGGCGTCATTTCACATTTGAGAATTGTCTCACCTATAAATTATGGTTCCTGTTCCTGCTTATTTGTTTCAGAATAGGTGCAATCTTTATTTTATGGTCCTTACAGCCAACGTACATGTGATATAGACATGTGTATAATTACTGAGCATTACGAGGGTCTAATTCTGAGCTACCCTCAAGTTAATAGCTCTCTGGAGCTTCTGCTGTGCATTGTGTTTATGGCCGCTTCACTGAGAACATGCTCAGGTTTGAGGGTAAATTTCTTGGATCCACCTTGAAGATAATCATTTGGCCGAGTAAGCCAGGCCAGCGCCCTCAGCCTGGACCCTGGATCTGAGGCTAGCCCCAGGGCACTTGACCCGCTGCCATTCTTGCTAACCAGCCCAGCTCCCGCCCATGCTCTGCTCTTCCCTTCCAGAAACATGGCGGAAGTGGTCTTCATCTCTCTGGTTTCAGGACAGGGATGACTGAACAAATACCACGGAGCTTGTCTTTAGTCTCGCTCCCAGTTCCTATTCTCTTTACCCGACACAAGTCCTGCATCCTCCTGCACACAGTGGGTGCCTCAAGAATGGGGACCTTTCCTCACATGCCCAGCTGTTCTTCTAGGCTATGCGTCTAAATTCTATCTATTCAGACCTTGGGTTTGTAACTGGAGGATGGCAGAGAAGGGTATTTCTGTCAGAAGGCATGCCGTACAGAATGTAGGCTATGATTTGCTAACGAGAGGGGCAAAGTTAGGTTACCCCTGGTAAAATGTCTTTTGGGGACCGAACAGCTTTGGAAGCAGGGAAAGGATTTCCTTGCCTGACTGCAGAAATTCACCTGGCGAGTTCATGTTGCTGGTCGCAGACTCAGTAACGCACAGGGCATGTTCACTTTTAGCTTCCACGGGGGACAAAGAACCCGGGGACGGCGGGAGGCCCTCTGGTGCCCTTGCTGGTGGGTGAGGACTCTGCAGCGTTGGGACTGCTCTGACCCGGTGGCTAGGGTCAGAATCCTCTCATGGGGCAGGCAAACCTCCACCAGAGTCCTTGCTGCTGGAGTCAGCTCCCTGCACCTGCTTCTGTGGGGGATGCTGGGGCGGGGGGCTCCAGGAGTCAGCTCCCTGCACCTGCTGCTGTGGGGGACGCTGGGGGGCGGCGCTCCAGCCATACGTGTGACGTGATGAAATAAGCCAGAAAGAGGGTCTCAGGCACCCGGAATGTCAGGTGCGCCCCATGACTGCTGACCCGAGCCCTGTGTCGAGGCCCTGGGCTGAGGCTTCCAGTCTTCTGGGTAGCTTCCCCCCATCTCAGCCCGGGGAGGACCCCGGTGGCTCCCCCATAGAGGAGCCTGAGCAGAAGGTGCTCTCCTGAGGATCGGACAGACCCAGCGACAGCGCTAGTGTGGGAGTCGGGGGTGCAGAGATGGGACAGGACTGGCAGCAGGGAGATCTCAGCTGTCCTGAGTCCAGCGGGGTCTTGTCACACCTCTCCTCTGTGACTCAGTAACGCTGAGCTCGTGCGGCTGCGTCTTCCTGGGCCAGCCAGTGAGTTCACGTGGGTGGGAAATGAAGTGATGGGCTTAATGAGGGGAGGGGCCGACTGCACCTGTGCTTCCCAGTGGAGAGTTGGGTGAAGCCTGACCCTCAGTGATCAGGGCCAGACACGCAGAGGCGGGCAGAGGGGCCCAGCAGGAGGTCTCGGGGGCGGGATTGGGACCACCCCATGCCCTGGGACCCGGCCACTGACGGGAGGCTGGAGAGTTCTATTAGGTCACCCCCTTCCTGGGCAGGGGTCCTGGGAACCGTGATCAGATGGGGAGCTCTGACTCAGAGCAGGCAGGAGCCCTATGAACAGCATGTGGAGGTCTTTGCCCAGGTGGGACCGCTGTGGACATGGTGTCATCTCGGGGGATGGGCAGGGCCTGGCCGCCTGGCTCTGTGTGGGACTCAGCAGAGCTGAACCTCCTGTGTGAGGGACTGGAGTCCCGCGTGGGGTGTGGTGAGGACAGGCAGAGCAGGTGGTAGGGGGTGAGGCCTGAGTGTGACATTCTGGTTTGTGGTGATCCTGCTTCTGAGCCTCAACTCATATGTATGTGTATATATATATTTATTTTAGGTTTATTTCTTTGAGACAGAGAGAGCGAGCTAGCAGGGGGCGGGGCAGGGGGAGAAAGAGAATCCCAAACAGACTCAACGCTGAGCATGGAGCCCTGCCTGGGGCTCGATCCCAGGACCCTGAGATCATGACCTGACCCGAAACCAAGAGTCGGATGCTTAACCGACTGTACCACCCAGGCGCCCCTCAACTCATATTTTTGAGACATGAACACATCTCCAAAGAGTTGAATCAGGATTTCTAAATGTTCTCTGATAGCAAAGCTCACAGTAGAACTTTTGATGAAGTTGCAGAACCTTTAAGAAGGTAGCAGTCCGGGCTGGGGGCATCCACGGTCCGAGCTTCGCTCTGTGCCGTGGACACGGTGAGCTTGCAGAGCCAGGAGCAGGAGGTTACGGGCTGTCTTGCCCAGAATGTGCTTCCTTGTGTGGGGAGCTGCGGGGTGAGGCCGCCTCTAGTCCTGCTTCCCTAGTGTCCGTAGTCTTTGTGACCCACACCTGCTCCTTTGTGGTTTTTCCTGGAGCTCCCCTCGGGGACAGCTGGGAGGACTGGGCTCCCTTTCTTTCAAATTCCCAAACCAAAGTGGGGCTTTTTCCTGCATCCCTGCAGTGCAGCCTGCATGGGGTGGTGCAGGCTGTGCCCCTTTCTTGAGGACGGACCCCAATGATTGCTGACTCTCTTGTTCCTTTCGGACGAGCCTGCCCTCTAGATGTGACTGTCCTTACCTCTTCTGGGGCCAGGGGGCCTGGCTCCCCACCATCTAATCCACCCTGTCTGTGCTGTGTGGCTTCGGTCCGAGTCCTTGCACTGAAGGCTCGGACATGCAATGAACCGTGTCTCTTGCAGCTCAAGGTCTCTGCTTTTAAAACTCGCGATCCTTTTCTTATCCTGCTTGCTAAGTAAATCCACCCTTGACAGAAGGATGCTACAGGCTGAAGGCGGAATTAGTAGCGGGCAGAAAGAAAAGACAGTAGCAACAAAAAGCAAAGTTCGTTACAGTAGCAAGAAAGCCTCATGGTGCCCAGGGCGCTCCTGGAAAATGCGCCCTTGTGTTGTTGCAAGATGGGCGCCAGCTTCTAAGGCTGTCCTGCACACCAGCTCAACATTTTACCCTGGGCCGCTCACTCACACCCACACACACTCACACTCACACTCACACAGGTACGCCTCAGCCCTCACTCGCAGCCAGGTTGACTGTGGTCTAGAGCTGGACAAAAGCCTTTACGTTTAAATACAAACTGAGCCTTTGCTTCATGAGATTACCAGTGTATTTGGTAGAGATTTGAGTTGTTATTTTTGGCGTTGGCTAGGAGGAGGCATCCATGAGTGTTGTAAGGGAACGTTCTCTCGCTTACAGGTGCTGGTTGGTCAGGGTGTGGTATGCAGAGTGCCCAGGACCCCCCTGCCTAGGGCGCTCAGCCTGACAGCCACCCCCCCCCCACCTCCACTATCTTTTAAAGCGTCTATTTCCATGTAGCGCCTTCTGCTTCTGGCTGTTGGTTCTGCATATGCTGTTTCTGCTTTGTCCTGGGTCAACCCCGATGGAAAATCACTCTAGTGGTGATTTCCAGGAAAAAAAAAAAAATCATCCGCATCCCAGCCTGCGTGTCACCGTGGCAGGATCGAGTTGGTGGCATGCAGCCTTTCCAGGAATGTCATCGTGCTTAATTGGAGTGATCCGAGAGGTAGAATTTGGGCCGGTGCAGTGCAGAGAAGGCTCCAGGGCACCGGATGGCGGAGGGAGGGCCCCCTGGAGGCGGTGGGGGAGAGAGGGAGCACCTGCCTGAGCTCCGGAGTCGGGTCCCTTGGCAAGCTGCGCATCCCCCGTCTGCTTCCTCATCGGTACACAGGGCGAGAATTCGGTAGAGGTATTTTAGTGCTGCTGCGAGGGTTACGTGGGGTCGTCTTCAGCCACCTCCTGGCCAGGTACCTCCTTGCCTTGGCCCGTCCCATCCCCCTCTGCTATCTGCTCAGCTCTGGTGTGGCACCCGGCAGCGCTGTGGGAAAGGGTCCCTCCAGGGGAAACCCGCTCTGCTCCGGCACCCTGGCTTTGCCCTTTGCAAACCACCGGGCTGGATCCCGTTTCACATTCCTAAAACACCTGGGCGTCTTCACGGAAAGTCGGGCGGGAGGGAAGACGTGAGTTTGTATGGGGAGGATGGCGGGAGATCTGACCCTGACCGTGGGCGTGTGTTTCAGGTGTCCCCATGTGAGCGGTGCCGCTGTGAAGCCAACGGGGAGGTGCTGTGCACCGTGTCGGCGTGTCCTCAGACGGAGTGTGTGGACCCCGTGTACGAGCCTGACCAGTGCTGCCCCATCTGCAAAAATGGTATGTGAGCCGCCGGTCGAGCGCAGGCCCGCCTCCCAGCCGCCTCCCGGTTCACCCCAAGTTCACTGCCTGCTTCGTGGTCGATGAAAGATGCATGCATGTGTGTGTCCACACAGTCGGGGGCCCAGGGGGACAGTTGGGAGCTGTTCTGCACGGAGGCGTGCGCTCTCTTGCCGGTGTCAGCCCCATGCTCTATAGAGGACCCAAGAAGCGCTTGGGGGAGAAATTCAATTTCCAGAGTGAGGAGAGTCCCTTACTTTCATTTAACTTTGTTCTTGCAAAGCAGTTTCTCTCTTTCCGAGACAAATCAAACATGCTGTTTGGGCTCATTTACTTTTCATTATTAAGTGAATTAAACTTCGGACATAACTGAATATTTTTCATAAGTAAATTAGGCAGGAAGAGCACCCCTGTCCAGTGAGAGCCCGTGGTAGATCAAAAGCCTCATCTGCTTTCTGAAAAAGAAATGGCAAGATGTCCTGGATCATAATTTATAAAGGGAGAGCGTTTCCTCAAACTGAATAACGAGAATGACTTTGTACCTTGAAGTACTGAGTGCTGTTCTGGGCATCACATTTTAAGAGGGTATTTGACAAGAGTGCGTTCCCAGGGACAGTGGGCTTACCAATGATGGCTCGAGAGGGCGGCTGGATGAGGCAGTTGAGTTGGAAGCAAGCTGACTCTGGATTCATGATCACGTCTTCAAGAGTTTGAGTCCTCTCCCTGAAGGAGGGACCTTCGGTGGTGTCTGTGTGGCCCCAGGGCGTGGTGCTAGGACTCAAGGTCAGAGCCACAGATTGGCTCAGAAAGATGGGAGCATTTCCCTGACCTGAGCATTTCCGATAAGGTGGTCGGCTCGAGAGGTGGTCAGCTCGTCACTGCGGGGGTTACTGGCCCAAGCTGGAGGCCCTACGATGCGGGCTTGGAAGGTGGCGGACGGTGACACAGCTGTTGTTAGTGTCTGGGGGGAATCTTTGGGAGGGTCAGTTAGGACTGGCAGGAATGGAGTCGGGGTGGGGAAGGGGAGGCAGGTAGAGAGGCCGGTGGCCCTCGAGGGGGTGTGGGGGGAAGCGAGCCTGCTGAGGAGCCGGTGGGCGCCTGGCGTCCATCAGGAGATCAGGGCGGCTCCTGTCCAGGCTGCAGTACCTGCTCGTGGACAGGGGAGCGCACTGCCCAAGTCACCTCTCATGGAGTCAGTGCTATTCAGTGGAAGGCTTAACTGTGGGGTGCTCAAATATTTGGTTACCTTAAATATCCAAGATACTGTGTGTTGTCTCTTGCCAAGCACGATAAGAAATAACATTTTGGCACTCGATAGGGTATCTGTGTTTGGATATTTCCAAAAGATGGGAAGATGTGATTTCAATCTCTGAGGAAGTTCTAGTCCTTGAAACTTGGTAAAGGTTTCAAACCTACAGAAAACCTGAAATGCTTGTACAATGAACAGGTGTAGACCCTTCACTACATTTACCTTTCATGAACATTTTGCCATTTTTGCTTTATCTCTTTTGGTCTCTGTCTTTGTCCCCACTGTTCCCCATCTCTGTATATAATCCAACTCCATCAGCACTTTTATTTCTTTGTTCCTTCCCATCATACACCCTGGAGACCTTCTATTTATATCACCACCAGCAGGAAGCCTACCGAGTACAGTTCAAGATTTTTCTTTGCAGGTCTGTTTGTGCTTAGGATTTATCCCAGTTAGGGTACAGAGTCAGTGAACTCTGTTTAGAAATTATCTGGATTAATTCTTTTTTACCATCCCCATGACATTGATATTATAACTGAAAGTTTGTACCTCTTAATCCCCTTCATCTGTCTCTCCCCTCTCCCACTCCCTCCCCTGTGGTGGTCACTGGTTTGTTCTTGAATTAATTCCTTATTGGTGTGCGTATGCTAAAATTTTAAGGATTCTTACTTTGATAGACAGCATGGGATGGAATAGGGCAGGATTTGGGGAATGGCATACTAGAGATTCTTAGAAGGAGCATAAATATGTTTTTGAAAACCAGATTCAAGAAGGATTACAGATTCAAGAAGGATTTGTATTAAAAGGTTTTGATCCAGGGGCTCGTGGGTGGCTCAGTCATTAAGCGCCTGCCTTTGGCTCAGGTCATGATACTGGGGTCCTGGAATTGAGCCCTGCGTTGGGCTCCCTGCTCAGCAGAGAGTCTGCTTCTCCTTCTCCCAGTCCCCCTGCTTGGGTTCTCTCTCACTGTGTGTCTCTCTCTCTGTCAAATAAAAAAAAAAAAAAAGATTTTGATCCAATTATGTCAAAACATCAACAACTTCTTATTTTCAGGAGTACCAAGTAGAAAGAAGTTTAAATGAGCCAGATAGAAAGGCTTTCTGCCATCTATAGTATTCTGACCCTGACAGGTTAAATGGTGCTTGGAATTCTTGGAATTCTTACCTAAAGATTGGCTTGAAAAATGAGAAGAGTTTCTATTGAACTTGCATACTCTGTAATAATTAACTGAGATTAGTGAATAATTTATGGTTGTCGATCTCTGCCACCCACATACACAAAACAGTGTTGTCACGAGAAAATATTACACGTGGACTCAAAGATTATAGGACATCAAAAACAATGCCTTAGACAAAATTAGATGCTAGGATAGACATAGCTTGGATGGAATATGAAGGTTTTAAGTCCCGATCTCAGGAAACAGGCCTTTATTCTGCAAACTCTAATGTCTTCACCTGTAGCATTAACTACTTCCTTCTCCCAACAAAGGGAAAATTACAGATCAGTTGCAAGCTGCCAAAGTCAATTGCGTCAAAGGGGCAAAAGTTTGAAACCAAGAATGCATGGGATATAAAAAATGATCACAAATCAAGTACAACTTAATATATTCACTTTGGTGACATGTATAGCTCAATCTCCCAAGGATTTTCTTTTGATAAAATGGTTTGTGTGGCACTGTTGGTTTTTTCTTTCCTTTCTCCCAGTGATACAAACAGCAAATGTTATTTATATGGGCTTTCAGGATTTCAGATTTGCTCTGGAGACAGGGGCACCTCAGAGGTGAGGTTCACAGCACTCATTCCACTTAAGCCTCTTAGTCTCAGAACACTTGTGACATTAAAAATCAGGAGCCTCTGTTCTGCACGTGTGGACGCTCTTCTTTCATGCATGTGAGCGGGGCATGACCTTGACTCTGGGCCTTGTTAGAATCAGCTCTGATTCTCTAAAGGGGAATAGCATACCCAAGGTGGTATGAGGTACTTTGAGAGCACTAAGGCCCTGAGTGTAACGATTGTACATCTCACTGCAGTATTGTTGCCCTTAACAATACAGTTGACCCTTGAATGTCATGGGTTTAAACTGTGTGGGTCCACTTATATGCAGATTTTTTCCCCAATAAATACAAGACAGTCCTATAAATGTATTTTTGCTTCCTCATGACTTTCTTAACATTTTCTCTTCTCTAGCTTACTTTCTTGGAGAAGTACAGAATATAACACATACAGCATACAAAATATGTGTTAATCAATTCTTTGTGTTATCAGTAAGGCTTCTGGTCAACCGTAGGCTGTGAGTAGTTAAGTTTTTGGGGAGTCAATAGTTATACACAGATTTTTGACTGTGCAGAGGTCAGTTCCCTAAACCCGCACATTGTTCCAGGGTCGACTAGTTATTTGCAGCTTTATTTCCCCAAGAAAATAAATATTTTTTTGGAGAAGAAAATGAAAACTTTTATAAAATTTGTAAGAAAAATACTGAGACTTCAAATTATTAGAAGCACTTTCATGAAAAATATGTGAGAAACACTAAGAATTAGAGGGTTTTTTTTCTCCCGTGTATCTCAAAGAGTAGGATAAAATCATAATTAAACCACATGTAGTGAGTTGGACAGAACTGAATGGTGTGTGTGTGTGTGTGTGTGAGAGAGAGAGAGAGAGAGAGATTCATATCAAGATCCTTCTCACAAGGAAAAACTACTCTCATTTGGCCTCACCATTGAAGCTTTCCAAAATCTTTACCAAAGAAATAACACCAATCTTTTGGAAATGCTTGGTTGCTATTTAAAAATGACATGATTTTTGTCCAATAAAAATATAAAGGAAACTACAGATATCAGAATTAATCCTTGATACAGAGTTGTTGTACAAGGTCAATATGTAAAAATCAGCCATGTTTCTATATACCAGTGACCAGTAGAAATGAATTAAAAACTAATCTTTCATGTAGTATATATATATACAATGGAATATTACTCAGCCATCAAAAAAATGAAATCTTGCCATTTGTAACGATGTGGAACTAGAGGGTATTATGCTAAGTGAAATAAGTCAATCAGGGAAAGACAATTATCATATGATTTCACTCCCATGTGGAATTTAAGAAACAAAACAGAGTAGATCATAGCAGAAGGGGGGGGAGTAAAAAAGATGAAATCAGAGAGGGAGACAAACCATAAGAGGCTCTTTTTTAAATAAAGATTTTATTTATTTATTTGTTAGAGAGAAAGAGAGCACAAGCAGGGGGAGCTGCAGAGGGAGAAGCAGACTCCCTGCTGAGCAAAGAGCCCGATGTGGGACTCAATCCCAGGACCCTAAGCCGAAGGCAGACACTTAACCAACTGAGCCACCCAGGCGTCGCAGGAGACTCTTAATCATAGGAAACAAACTGAGGGTTGCTAGGGGGGGCGGAGAGTGGGGGATAGGGTAACTGGGTGATGGACATTAAGGAAGGCACATGATGTAATGAGGACTGGGTGTTTTATATAAGACTGATGAATCACTGAACAGTACCTCAGAAACTAGTAATACACTATATGTTAATTAATTGAATTTAAATTAAAAAATAAAAAGGAGAAACAAAAGATAAAAAAATTAAAAAATAAAAACTAATCTTTCAAGTAACATCATACATTAGAAGTAAATCTAATAAAATTTGGCATGATTGCCACATTTAAAAATCTTAAAGCTTTATTGAGAGAAATTAAAGAAGTCTTAAGTAAGTGAAAGAATATAGCATGTTCATCATGGGAAGA